TCTTAATTTTTTTAAAAAGAAAAATAAATAAATAAAACATCAACTTTGAACTAAAACTTCATCCTTAATTAATTTTTTATCAAAGATATATTTTGAAATTTGGCATATATTGATAAAAAATTTATCGTAAAATTCAATAAACAACCCGACCATCACACGAGTACAAAACTAGCCCTAAATTAAAGCCCTGTCTTCCTAATGGGAATCAATTACTTAGATTTTTTTTTATCTTAACTTAAATAATAAAAATAATTTTTTTTGAGGGGAAAATAATAAAAATAATTAATTACCAACAAATAGAAATTAGCCATATAATTTAATTATCCAAGGATAATATTTATTAAAAAATATCCAAGTGAAGTTTATAATGATAGGTTTTTGAACGTTAATAATATATCAAAGCTGGTCATATCATGTTTATCAAAAAAAAAAAAAAAAAGTTGTTCATATCATGCGACTTCTTGTAAAATAAAGAACAAAATAACCCTTATAACACGACCAAGTCGGGTGGCCCTTGTAATATTGACTAAGTACGTAAGCCCTATAACATTGATCAAGTAACCTCAATAACACTAACAATGTAATCAATGTAACACAAGTAACACCTATAACACTAGCGAATTAATCCCATGATGCGTGAGGCCAATTAACCACATACATAGTATATAAGAAGTTGTGCATAAGCTGTTGCATCCTAAAAAATCTAATACTCCCTCCATGTTTAATTAAATGAAATGTTTTCCTATTGTGGCCGTGTTTAAATAAATAAACATTTTCTTTTTTTAGTAACTTCTATCTATTTTTTCATAATATTCTCTTTACTTTTTAATAACACTATAGGAGCCCGGATGGTTAGTTGTTATGGTTGAATTGCCCAAATACAAAAAGTTTGTGAGAGTGAACCCCCGCCCTTTGTGGCTCTCTAAACACCAAAAAAAAAAAAAAAACTAAAAGTTTGTTAGGTCAGCCTTTATACACTTACTAAGAGGTTAATGGCAAGCATATATATATAATGTATCAAATGTTTGGAGCTCCATTCCCTCACTTCAATATATAGTTCAAATCTAGTGGAGGATGAGCTATGGTGACTAGAGGATAGGAGCTTAAGTTAATTAGTCATTTGATCGGCTCCAAGCCTATAGTTTTAAAATGATATAAGCTAAATAAAGGGTAGGATTTTCATTAAATTAAACAAAGGAGAATTTATTGTGGGATTAGTGAAAAGTAGACCATTGGTGTGATATTTGAGGTATTTGGCATAATTTCTTAGAACCTAAGTTTGCAAGAGTCATTCAAAGCAAATCATTGAATCACATAGCTTAAAAATGATACCTTGTATGTAATTGTGTAACTAAAGTTGTAGTAAAACTTAACTTGAATGCCACATTGTCAATAAAAAATCGAATATCATGGTTGTTGACATCATCAACAATGGGAAACTCAGCAAAATCGTTCGGGTCAAGTAAAAAAGAACGGAGGAAGTATTATTTTTGGTATAAGGGTAAATGAAAATAAAACTTTGCAAAGAACGAAAGAGAGAGAGCAATACTACATTCTTCCATTCTAAATTTTGGGAGTCAATAAATTAGACACTATACTTCTACATTAAAATTAAACTAAATATATACATGTATTAGATTTATTGTTCTAGAAGCTCAATCTAATATTAATATTGCTCAATATCATAAATTTTGTTGCAACTTAATTAGAAATGTCCATTAATAATCTAATACAAAGTACTAATAAAACAAGTTAGTAAGGAGGAGCTCTATTAGGGATTCCTTTCCTACTTCGAGTCCGATATGAATAACCACAATAATCATCGATTAGCATCTTCCCATCGGTCTCCTCTACTCTAGAAATTGTATCGAATCCCTCTAAATCGATCTTCATCTTCTTCTTGTTAATGTTGTTATTACCCTCTTTATCCTTTGTTGTTCTCTTCGAATTATTCTTCAAAGGCAGCGTGACCTGATTTTGAACAATTTGTTTTACTAAATCGTTATGTCGTTGTAAATCATCTTTAGTACAAGTAATCTTGCATTCGATAGAGCAAAACGGGTATCCCTCAGCCATAGTATGCGTACACTTAATACAACAACGACCCTTAATCATCATCGAATCGTTGATTTTTTTGTTATGGTTTTTTTTCCTAGACTTAGGGAAATAAATGTAATATTCATTACTAATATACTCGTAAATCCCAGAAAGATCTATATCTTGAACGACTTCTTGTAAAATCGAAGTGATTTCGTAGTTAACATACCCGTAACAACCTGAACACTTCCTAGTCCTCAAAATTTGATGACCATTATGAAACTCGTTTATCTCCGAAATTGTTAAACTCCCTCCTCTACAACTTACACAGAAGAAGGCTCGATCGATTTTCACTATTTCGTTTTTATTATTATCTTGCCTTTTCTTTTCTGTCTTGAAGTCTGCATTTAATAAATCGTGCACCAATGCATTTGATATCAACACACGTCTTTGCTCTTCAGGAAGAATTATACCACTTTCATAATACTTTCCTCCCGTCATATTTCAGACCTGCCCTGTTCACTTCACCTTAAAAAAAAATAATAATAAAATTAATTTCAGTTCAGTAAAATTAAGTTCAATTCAGCAAAAATAATTTCAGTTCAGTAAAAATAGTTTCAGATCAGTAAATGTAAAGAAGAAATATAATAGGAATTAAGTAAAAATAGTTTCAGTAAAATTAATTTCAGTTCAAGCAAAATTAATTTCAGTTCAGTAAAAATAATTTCAGCAAAAATATATAAGGTGATGTGAACGGGGGTAATATTTATTATTCATGCAACACATAATTGGGAAAGAGCCATATACATTTTCTGATGAGAAGAATAAACCCTAAATAGACTATATTCAATAATCCAACTTAGACGAACCCTAAACTACTTGAATATTATCAATAATCCAACTTAGAAGAACCATGATAATTATAGAAATAATTAAAACAATCTTTACCTCAAAATAAATCAGATTCAACGGAGGAACGCTCTAATGGAGAATTTCTAGTATGCTTCAATGGAGGAAAGAGCAACTATGTGAAAATAGTTTAATTAATGATAGTAAACCGACATACGTTAATACGTAATACTTATTTAATTGTTTTTTTTTTGGTAAATCTTGAATCCGAACCTAATATAGTTAATAAGTTAAATAATTAAATTTGTTTTTTGAAGAAATTTAATAATTAAATATTTAAATATGATAATGTATTTTTTTTTTTTAAATCCAAGCTAAGTACGTTAACTGAAAGCTTGCAACTCATTTACATTTTTTTTTTATCTTTAATTTTTTTTTGGTCATATGATAACTTAATTTGGATTATGAGTATGATAAAATTTTAAAATAAATAAATAAATTATCAACTTTGAACCAAATCCTCATCCTTAAAGCCTAGTCTTCCATTCCTACGGGAATCAATTTCATAGATTTTTTTTTAGCAAGCCCAGTTTATATCTTCATCATAAACAAATTATATTTTTCAAATAGCATTTTTGTAAATAAGTTGCATTGAAAATTGTGCTTTATATTTTAATATATATATAGGGGAGGGATCCGGTGAGAATAGGTCCATAAGTGAGATTTCATACTTATATGAGAACTGATTTAAAATTTAGAACATGTGAGTAAAAATTTAGAATATGTGAATTAAAATTTAGAACATGCGAGTTAAAATTTAGAACATGTGACTCAAATTCAAATTTTGAACATATGAGTAATAATTTAGAACATTTGTGTGAGTAATATGTTTAGAACATCTGATTTAAGAATTTGAACAAGTGATTAAAAATTTATAAAATTTGCTTTATGAAATTTTAAACATATGAGTAAAATTTAGACATATGATTTAAGATTATGAACATGTGAATAAAAATTTAGAACAAACTGATATAGAATATAGAAAGTGTGAGTAAATAATTTAGAACATACGAGTAAAAAAATAGAACATACAATTTAAAATCTGGAACATATAATTAAAAATCTTAAAACACACGTTTTAAAATTTAGAACATACAAGTTAAAATTTTGGAACAAGTTATTTAAAATTTATGACATCGAACTTAACTAATTTATGGTTTAGAACATGTGAGTACTAAATTAGAACATTTGATTTAATTTAGAATACCTAAGGAAAAGTTTAGAACATCAGATTTAAAATTTAGAACATACGAGTAAAAATTTAGAACATAAAGAGTGTTCTCACATAAGAAAAATTCTCACATAAGAAAATTTCTCACGAGAGCCTTCCCCTATATATATATATATATATTATTTTTTTTATGACAAGTTGGACAGCTTTTAGGAGTTAGGCCCTGTTCTCTTCACTTTAAAAAATAATATTAAGTAAAAATAATTTCAGTTCAGTAAAAATAAGTTCAGTTCACTAAAATTAATTTCAGTTCAGTAAAAATAAGTTCAATTCAGTAAAATTCAGTTTTTCTTAAAGAAGAATTATAATAGAAAATCAGTAAAAATAATTTAAGTTCAGTAAAAATAAGTTCAGTTCAGTAAAAATTAAGGTGAATCAAACAGGGCATTAATGGTGTTAACTGTTAATTACAATTACTATTTATCTTCGTTCTTCCTCCTACCTTTTCTCAAATCTTCTGATAAAATTAATTTTTGTCTTAAATTTAAACATCAAATTATATATTTTTTTTGAAAGAAAATTATCAATTTTTTTTTTTGAAATAAAAATTATCAAATTAATTAATTAGCAACAAATAGCATGTAGTCATATAATCTTATCATCTAAGGGTAAATAAAAATAAATAAATAAATAAAATGAAGTTTTTAATAAAAGGTTAAAACAATTGAATTTAAGAAATTAAATTTAGCACTTTGGCTCATAGGTTGGAGTTTCCTAAAAAAACCACCTTGTATTCACATAATATACTTTGATTTTGTTTTGTGATTAAGTGAAAATTAAACATTTTGCAAAGAAAGAAAGAGAGAAATTAATACTCCACTATATTCTTCCATTCCAAATTATGGAGGCGAGTTAATAAATTAGATACTATACTTCTACATTAAAACGAAGTATATGTATTAGATTTATTGAACTAGAAGCCGTTACACTTCCCAAAACCAAGCTATAAATACATAATTGTACAAACCTTGTACTCCGTATGATTAAAAAAAAAAATTGTAAGAAAAAAGTAAGTAATTATGGCTAGGAAATTTTGATAAAAAATCAATAGTCATGTTACATAAAATTAAGTATAAAGAACCCCAAATCAAAGAACAGACGAATTCAAGAGGTTCCCGCTAGACAGTATGAAAATAAAATTACTTTGTACCAAATTTTCAACCTTGATGCTTCGAATCCAACCACCCAATATACACCTTCGTTAATTTTGAATTGCAAGAAAGGAACGTTTTATCTGTGGAAAATAATACCCCTTTGTTGTAACTAACAATTAGCGGAGGTAGTAAAGTTCTTGTGTATTTTTAACGCGATGATTTACCTTACCTCCCTTGAAAGTTGGCAATTTGAGAGAAGGCAGAAGCACCAACTTCAGTATGATCATCACTAGTAGGAGCACTACTACTTTCTACTCCATCTACACCCATAATTGGAGCCGTCTCTAAGGGGATCAACAACGAGCTCTTATCCTCGGCTGCTTCGGTCTTTGAGCTTGCCTCTTGGAGTTGCAATGCATACTCCAAGTTCCACAACACATCTCCCATCGAAGGCCTTTCCACACCGTACTCGGCCAAGCATTTCTCAGCTGCTTCGACATACTTCTTCAAGGAGGCAGAGGATATTGTTCCTTGCAAATTCGGATCTACAATCTTTTCAAGAAGTCCTTTTCTATAGTTCGACATTGCCCATTCAGCCAAGTTCACCTGGTCCCTTGGCAAGGCCGGGTTTATAGCCGGCCTTGCAGTCAGGACCTCTAGGAGGACTACTCCAAATGAGTAGACATCGGACTTCTCAGTTAGTTGTTGTCTTCGAAAGTACTCTGGATCTAGGTAACCAAAGCTACCCTTTACCGCGGTACTCACATGGGTTTGCTCCATGAGGCACGCGGCTTTGGATAGCCCAAAGTCGCTAACTTTGGCCACAAAGTTCTCGTCTAATAGAATGTTAGTCGTCTTGACATCTCGATGGATAATACAATGTGCTGCACCCGTGTGTAGGTAATGAAGACCGCGAGCAGAACCAATACATATCTCAAGCCTCTGCTTCCACGGCATGGGTGCATTGAGCTTAGACCCATATAGGTGCTCTCGAAGGACACCATTCGACATGAACTCGTACACGAGACACATCTCCGAATTCTCATCACAATATCCAATAAGAGATACAAGATGCCGGTGTCTAAGCTGTGAGAGCATCTGAATCTCGGTTTGAAACTCATTTATACCTTGCTCTGATTGCGGATTACCTCTCTTGATGGCCACCTTCGTGCCATCGTCTAATTGACCCTTGTACACTTTTCCAAATCCGCCAACTCCAATCACCGCGTTCTCATCAAAATTGTTACAAGCATCTTGCAACTCATTGAAGCTAAAGAATTTACCAACCCCTTGGTTTGTCGAGGCAAACATACCACTCTTTCGAGACCCAAACATCGAGCTTTTCCTCGAGGTTGTGATCGAGGTTGTTTTGCTAGAAAGGAAGCTACTATGACTAGTGGTTAAAGGAAGAAGCCAAGAGGAGAAACTGTTATTCCTTTGGCAATTTAGGGGACGTTTATGCCACCTTACAAACATGACTACAACTAGTAGTAAGGCCACTATTCCCATTACTAGTCCTACCACGGCTAACACCTTCATAGTTTTAGAACCCGAGGCTGCCCCCATGTAGTTCCCCTCCACATCGAACAACCCACTTAGGCTGCCCGCGGAGTTGCTCATCTTGATCACCTCCACCCCGTTGAGGATTGCGTTGGGATCGCCTGACCCGTCCGAGCCCGAACCCACCTGGATCACAATCAATCCGTTTGCAATTGTTGTGGAGTTGATCACAAAATCCCTGTAAACATTTCAATACATGAATATAAGTCATTGTAATACATTTTCCTACATAAAACAAAATGAAAATAAATAAGGCGGTAGATTATTGTACATCAAATGTCAATTAAATTGCACCAATACAAAATACAAGTTACATAATTTTTTTTTTATTCCTACAATTACTCATTTTATATAATATGTTCCCCGTAAGAATGATCCATATACCCTTTATAAAATTTATCCCTTACCAATCACTTCTTAATTTACAATAAAAATCATAACAAATTGTGATTACTCAAAACATGTTAAAGTAAATCTACTGATTTAACACAAAATTTCATAAATGGCTGATCAAAAGATGTACACGGGGTTAGTCAATTGATCAGGGTTACTCGGTCAGAGATTACCTGTTTTAGTGTGTGTCAGCTGGACAGTCCCAAAAAAAAGTCATTGATTTAAATTATTTGAAAGCTGACTATGTATAACAAAATTATTATATATTCTGTGTATAGTACCCAAAAGATATTGTACATAGTAATATGAAAAAGTTTCCTAAAATGGATTTTTATGGTCTTAATTTCAAAATATTGCTATAAATGATACCACTCATACTAGCCGTCTAGTACTTTGTGATTGAAAAGAATTACAACCAGTAAGTTTTTAGTATGTAGGGAACCTATGTCCAAAATTGGCTACAACAACAACAAAACCATAAAAAAAAAAAAAAATTAAAAAATAAATAAAAAGAGTTTCCATTACTATACTTTTTACTCTAGACCTTATTATCCATCTATTCCATGTTAAATTTATACATGGTAAAATAAAAAATGAGCAAGTCAACTCAATGAATGATGTAGATTTAATATTAATCGAAAATGTACATACATATATGCTTTAATGATTAAAAAATATAGTAGTAAACTATTAGTTATGTAAAAATGTGCATTATAAATTTATACGATGGTAAAAATATAAATAATTACCTGTAATAGGCGGTCGATAGAGCCATAGTTTGGGTAGACAAATCAAGATTAGCAACACCCATCATTCCATTGACATAAACATTGAAGTACAAGTCATTCATTGCTACACTCACAATGTCACAAAAATGTAGTCTAACGAGATAGTCATATGACGAGTCAACCGGCATCTTCCATGTAAGGTTGAAGTTGGCCTCGATAGTCTCCGCATTCTCCATCTCGGCCGCGGTTGCGTACACCCAAGGCGGCGCAATGTACATCGTTGCACCGCCTTCCGGGTACTTAACCTTGCTTGGGTCAATTTTAGCATCTTTTGATCCTTGAGGGAATGTGTTGAACTTTTCATCTGGATGCCATGTTCTCCATAGTGTGTCGTTTTTCGGTGACACGAGTGGCCCACCGACGTTTAGTCGGAGGGCCACTTCGAAGGCGTGTTTGGCCACTCCCTCGATGTTCCCAACGGGTGGGACTGGGGAGGCGGTGTCTGAGATGAGGTCGTCGGGGACGGAGATGACCTCGATGGCGTTGATGAAGGCGAAGGAGTTTTTCTTAGGGGAGAATTTTAGGGTGAGTGTGTCTGAAGTTAGGTTGAGGATGTATTCTTTGAAGATGGGGGAAGGGTAATGGACAGTGAAGTCATGTAGGAGGACGAAGTTTTCGGTTGTGACTCGAAAAACGGCGTTGGAGAGGTTGTAGGAAGGGTGAGGGAGAGGGAAGAAGTAAAGGCGGATGAGATGAAAGCCTTGTTGAGAGATAGGGAATTTGTAGGAGGATGCACTAGGGAAAATCCTAGCGGATTTGTATAGAGGTAGAGGCGGAGGTGGAGGTAGTTTAGACGAAGGAACGCCGTCTTTAAGTGGTGATGGAAGTGTATCGACACTAACTTTAACATCCTCGTCGCTACTTAGATTGCTAACCGTCGATGGATCTGACTTGAACGTTCGTCCATCGGGGAGATCCACGTCCTCTTGTGCCCCGCAGGCGATTAGGAGTTTATCCCTAGGCGCGTATTTTGGTGTTTTAGGAGCAGGAGACGTGTCATCGGATGAAGGAGAAGGCGCTTCAAGAGGGGCTTGCGCGTAAATAGTGGTGGGTATAGAACCAATGAGGAGGAGGAAAGAGAAAATGACGACGAATAATGAAGATATCATGGTGTTAGATTGATGAGATAAACAACATATGGTATAATGCTAGCACATTTAAGGTGTCACATGGCCTTAATCGTGGTCGTTGTCGTGGTCGTGGCCGTGGCCGTGGTGGTACTCATGGAGAAATCTAAGGAACTACAAAGCCAAAAAAAATTATAAGGAAATTTTTTTGATATGTTTTATGTTGGGTTGGATAATTGAGGGGTGTATAGAGTAAGGAAGATGGAAAGAATAATACAAGTTGTGGGAAGGCACTAAGTGAAAAATAAAGAAAAGGACTTGAAGAACGTGCTTCATTGTACTATGAAATTGATGAATGTTAGTTAGTGTTATATTTCGTGGCTTTGATGTTTGTTTGTATACATTTTTAATGTTTTAATGGGACATATCACATATTATAAGACCTAGTAAACGAATAAGGGGCAAATATTTGTATTGTGGGACCCTTTGGCAGGCTTGGTTAGCTGGCTATATGTACACATTTTTAACTACCAACTAACATATCAAAGTCTTAAACCGCGTAATCTATCTTCTTTGCTAGTACTACTTTATTCGAATGTGAGGGAAAGTTTTGTAGGACTATAAACACACCATGTCATTTATGAATTATGATTTGCTATGCGTCTAATATGATTGGTTTTATCGTGATAAAGAAGGAAAACGGTACAAATAATAAATTGAGATACAACGAACACGGTAAATCATTAGAGTATCTCTTATTTCTTACTCGTATTATAATTAGTTTTATCTCATAAATGGTCTTGATCTTTTGATATAAGCCAAATTAGTATGTTCTTACTACGTACTAACGTAGTTTAAAGTTATGGTTACTAAAGGAGTTATCATTCATTAGTTTTAGAGACTAAAAACATATTTGATTTTATATTGTTGAGTTGAATTTCACTATCTATTGAATAATCTATTACCTATCGATTTGTAACAACTATATTGCTCATTATGTAAACATAAAAAAATTTCCTCAACAACAACTAATCTTCCATATTTATTGTAATTCTACCAATTATTAGATGACAAGGTAAAGCTTTGCCATATATTACCATTATTTTGAACATTAGATAATCTTGTAATCAACCCTAACTTTATTTTGGTTATCTAATGTTTATTTGACTTGCCATCAATTATTTTTTATGAACCATTGACCCAAAATGATGATGTGTATATCAATCAAGCTTCATTAAATGTCAACTTCTTGTTAGTTGCATCCCACTTCCATGAGAATTATTCATTTTTATTGTTCACTCATATTTTTCTTTTCTGAAAAGTCTAAAGGTTTTGAACTTCTATTGAACATATCATCATATTCACTTATTTATTTTTAACATTATTTTAATTTTTTTTTTTTTTTTTTTTGGGTTAATATATGGTGTTGGGGACCAAGTATTTTTAGGCAAGCTAGTAATAGCCTGGTATTAAGATAAGAGCAATAAATATAGATGATTGCATTAATGTGACACCCATTCTTGTGAAACTTGCTACTCTTTTCTTTGTTGCCCCACATGAGAGGATGATGGGTTAAACAAACCGTGTTTTCAGGAATTTTGTGACTATTTTAACTTAGATTTTCATAAACTAAAATTACTATTCAATGGTTCTTTGAACTTCAATTGATAATGACTTACAACAATAACTATAATATACTCAAGTTTGTCTTGGTACATCAGTTGAATTAATACATCTAATGGGGTTCAGGTGAAAAATATTCAATATCAATCATTTTAGGCACTATAATAGATTCAAAGAACGGAAATTCCGACATTTTAATAAAATAAAATAAACTTCCTACTCCATCTCAGCTGTACTCGTAAAGTCGTAAGTTCATTCTAAGTATAAGTGAAGAGTATAGTTCTCATATGAACGGTCAAGCTGAAGGAGCTTTCCAGCCGAAGTGGCATATGCCGAAGCAGCATTTAATACTGCAGCAATGTCCCACGAAATTGGCTAAGATGGCCGAGAGTTGGCGTCTTAGACAAACACCAACCCCATTAAAACCTTAAACTTGACAGAAACTTGAAAGAAAGGTAACATTACAGTAAAGGAAGAAAAGTACAGATTATAATAAATAATCTTGTTATATTCTATATTACAACAAAACTCAGTTTGAGACTTTGAGGATCCACGGCATCATGAGGATCAAAAAATGCTGGACACTTGAGCAGCCTGTAAATAATATTGAAATTTTCTTTCAAAATGGATAAATTACAGTACTCGATTACAGCCTTTACTATTGTAATCGACAACCTTGCTCTTCTTGTCTAAGATATATTAACCCGCGACCTATTCTCTGCATTCAAAAGAAGGCACATACAGAAAGTAAGGGTCAGCCTTATATTCTAGAGTAAAAAAAAAAAGCCCCTTACTCTGTAGCTTAGAAAGAATAACAGAATTTGTCAATACCTCCTTCGCGTCTTTCAACCGCAGAAGTTCTAGTCTCTCCGATGGTCTTCTTCTTGTTAGCGTGGTTAGCTGCAAATACAAGCACAATTAATTATACTTTGAGATGAGTGACAATAAGGTTGGAAGAGAGGGAAACATGAGCATACCCAAAAGCTGAAGCGCTCAGGATCTTCCTTTGTGGGCATCATTGCTTCCACATTAAGGAGTTCTGCAAGCCGTCTTCTATCTAAAAATCATAGAAGAGGAGGCACTCAGAAAACCAAAGCAATGCTTCACAATATGGATTCCCATATCTTGGAAGGAAAAAAAATCCATGTCAGAACTACTACAACACATTAATTAACGTAACAGATGTATTTGGCTTGTTTGACCATATGTTAAAATTAGTTCTTTGTGCCGGTTTAGTAGAACTAGCACCTGGATGGTAGCTCTTAGTACAATGGCTTGATTTTGGGAAAGGCTTGTTTTGTTCAATCAAATAGAAGCTACCCAAAATCAATTTACAACTAAGACAAGCTCTGTTAAGTTCCAATAACTTCTGACAAATTCTAATCAGTTCCAGCAAGTTCAAGAGTTCCAATAAGTTCAGATTAATTCATTTGAAAAAGAGCAAAACCACAGTAATTTTAATTTATCGCCAAAAGCCAAAAAGAAAAAGCAGCTGCTTCAACAAACTTTTTCATATCTGGATTTAAATCCAACTTCTCAGCCAATGGAAAAGCCACTTACCAAGAGCTACAAAAACCTAGCAGCTAGCCATTACAAATTGTAATATATGAACAGACTAAAGCATGAAAAGAAAGTCCATATTGCCCCTTGAAAATACTCATGTTGTAATTACCTTGCCTAGCTGCTTCTTTCGCCCTCATCATCCACATTTGAGCATATTCTGCAGCATTATTTGTCAGTTCCTGCAGCTGTTAATGCCCAAAAGTCAAATATATCAAGACCAACATCTGGCCGATGTAGAAGATATCTACTTAACATTGTATCAGTACTACAAACTCTACAGAAGGTAGCATGAAGCTCTAACTTAGAACCTCAAACTTTAACTGGTAATGAGGTGAGCTAGAACCTTTTGCTTCAATTTGGGAATCAACTCAATCAAGCACACCTAGTGATAGAACTAGTTACTGAGTAGGTCATAAAGGGTTCATCTTGTAATCGGCCAAAGAGGGTTACTGGTCATTAGTGAGCAGTCCAATAGATGGATGAGCAAAAAATAAATAAAAAAGAAAGCAGAAGCAAAAGTATGCACGTGTGAATACTAAGCTATACAAGTAATTTGTTTACCATATCTATTTTATTTTACAAAAATATTGGACTATCATTTTGGCCCTATGTTGACCATGTCCAACCCTGTCCATTAAAGGCCATTAATAAAAGCCCTATTAGCTTGACTATAACGACAAATAGACTACCTTGTCCATTGGACCTAAAGTCCTAAAGACCCTCAAATTTCAATCTCACTCTAACCTTTCACCCAAAAAAAAAAGCCAGGTTCATTCAACACTAAATCAACTGACTAGTTGCTTTAAGTGCTGAGCATCACAACTAAAGTAGTTATATATGAAGGAAGTCTTAATCTTACATCTGATTTCTCTCTTGATCCTTCTGGTGGTTTTATATCCCGTATCCATTCTACTTCTGCAACACGGTAACTGAGAAAAACAAAGGAATAAATTTATAAGATAAGATCTAAAGAGACCTGAAGCAGTAGCAAAGACACAGACAACTTACCCATCTTGATCCCAGGATCGAAGGATTCGAAATCTTCGGCGTCCTTCAACCTGTGGAAAAGAGAAGCTATATATGATGAACTATCTGCTGAATGATACCTCATTAAATCAAGCAGAAAAAGAAACCAACAAAAAGAGAAAAGAGATAGTTGGAAGAGAACTTGGAAACAGGAAACAACGATCAAGAGAAAGTGGAGGTCATGGCATGGGAAATTAAAATGGAGGGGGGATAACGAGCCTGAAGAAAAAGTACTGAAAAACTATAGCAACATTCTAGAAAGATTGTTACATGATTAGTAAACAATTTTTCTTCTTTTGTGTGTGGGTGTGTGGGGGGGGGGGGATTAGGTGATCCACCCTACTGGTCTGAAACCTCACACAGTCAAACCGGGTCAGTTTAGCTTTGTGAAATTACACCAAATCACAGGATTTCATACACAGAATAAGAATACTCATATAATATAGCTATATATTTTTCATATCGATATAATTTAACAATTACAATGAGACTAAAATAATTAAATAATGTCCCTTGCATTTTTTTAAAGCATATAACAGAACCACCCAACCATAACACATCATCATAAACTCATTGTACACAGTGGCCTCTATACTGACAAGTGACAATGGTGCACCTTAAAACCTGAAAATAGTATATTCAGGTGAAATGAAAACTAGTTCATCACAAAAGCAAAAGTAATACAACAGTCAATGCAGAAATGCAAGATGTAAATAGATTATCTTACCTCTATATAGAAGCGGCCATCTGGAAGTGGCTCACATCTGCATGAATAAATGTAGAAAGAGGGGGAAATTCAATTTAGACCATTACACCGAACAGAAAAAGCATGAAAGGCAGAGGACTATTGCTGACACATACTCTGTTATCTCCACCTCACAAGCAAATTCAGCTATGTGACCGGTAGTGGAGTCAAGTGTTACCTACATCATTTACATAAAGTGTGAGCCCATAGACTACGAGAATCCTGATTAAGGGAGGTAAACACAAGCGACAGGTTGCAAAATTCTACCATGCCCATCCGATGATTTCCTTCCATTATCCTCCTAACCTGTTGTTCAAGCAACAAGAGAATAAAACCACCATAATCTGTAATAAGACTAAAAATAACTATTGTCAGTTGCTATTTGCTTATATTTAGTTTAACAGAAATACTGCACTTGCAAGTTGCAACTAATATAGTCTATATGTAATATCA